TCATACCAGTTGTGAAAGTATGGTTCAACCTAAGTAAATCGATCAACGTAACCCACCACATAAATAAAAGAATCACATGATCACCTCAATTGACACAGAAAAGGCATTTGATAAAGTCCAACATCCATTCCTGATAGAAACTCTCAATAAAATAGGTATAGAAGGGAAATTTCTCAACATAAAAAAGGGCATCTATACAAAACCAACAGGCAACATCATTCTCAACGAAGAGAGGCTGAAAACATTCCCCCTGAGAACAGGAACAAGACAAGGATGCCCTTTATCACCATTCCTATTTAACACTGTGCTGGAAAGTCCTAGCTAGAACAATGAGGCAAGAAAAAGAAATAAAGGGCAACCAAATTTGTACGGAAAAAGTAAAACTATCCCTATTTGCGGATGATACGATGTTATACATAGAAAACCCAAAGGACTCCACAAGGAAACTACTGAAACTAATAGAAAGATTCAGCAGAGTAGCAGGATATGAGACAAACATACAAAAATCATTTGGATTCCTATACATCGATAAAGAGAATTATGAAAGGGAAATCAGGAAAGCAACACCATTTATAATAGCACTTAAAAAAACCAAAATATTTAGGAATAAATCTAACCGTAAAAGACGTATACAAATAAAACTACAAAACACTACTGTAAGAAACCAAACAAAACCTACATAAATGGAAAAACATACCATGCTCATGGATAGTGAAAATGTCAACTCTACCGAAAGCAATCCAATGCAATCTCGATCCAAATACCAACAGCATTCTTTAATGAGATGGAAAAACCAATCATTAACTTTATATGGAAAGGAAAGAGGCCCCAGATAGGTAAAGCACTACTGAAGAAAAAGAACAAAGTAGGAGGACTCACACTACCTGACCTCAGCTATGGTAGTCAAAATAGCCTGGTACTGGTACAACGACAGACACATGATCAACAGAACAGAATCAAGAACCCAGATGTAAGTTCATCTTCCTATGGTCACCTGATCTTTGACAAAGGCCCAAAGTCCATTAAATGGGGAAAGGGCAGTCTTTTTAACAAATGATGCTGGAAAAACTAGATGTACATCTGTTAAAAAAAAAAAAAAGAAAGAAAGAAACAGGATCCATACCTCACACCATCCATACACAAAAACTAATTCAAAATGGATCAAAGACCTAAATATAAAACCAAAAACTATAAAGATCATAGAAGAAAAAATAGGGTCAACTCTAGTGGCCCTAATACACAGCATAAATAGCATAAAAACCATAACTAACAAAACACAAGTACCAAAAGATAAGCTAGATAACT